ACCACGGCGTGCCCGTCCTCGGAACACCCTTTATTGTCGACCAGTTCGTCAACCTGGAGAAGGTCGTCGGCATCGGCATGGGCCGCGGGATGCCGCTCAACGAGCTCACAAAGGAGCGCCTCGTGGCCGAGATAAAGGAGATGCTTACCAACCCTAGGTGAGAAGCGCAATGTGATCGTACGCTGGGGCCCAGGGTGCAACAACTCCGGGAATCATGTGTACACCTGCCAGGGAATAATAATAAAAAAATATTACCGGAATGAACAGAAATCGCTTAAACTAAGCGGATAACTAGTGGGACTCATTAGTAAAAATAAGCGTTCTCTGACCACTAGAAAACCTAAGGAATAAATAAAAGCGGACAGAAACCACTCGGAATCGAGTATTTCTGTAATCACGTGCACTCATCAAAATGGAGTAGTTAAACCTGAGCGACGGAGGCTAAGCTCGCGGCACGCCCGCGGATCTGTGGGTGGGCAACCCATCCGGCACACGAGACTCACCTACTCGCTCTTGATTCCGCAGGTACCTCAAGGCCGCGAGGCACACCCGCACGCTGATCCACGACCAGAAGGAGACACCCCTGGAGCGCGCCGTGTGGTGGGCCGAGTACGTCGGCAGGCACCGCGGCGCACCCCACCTCCGCTCCCCTGCGCGCGACCTGTACTGGCACCAGGTCATGATGCTCGACATCGCCGCCCTGCTCGCGTTCGCCGTGCTGGCGGTGCTCCTGGTCGCCTTCCTGGTGGTCAAGTGCGCCGTCTACTTCTTCCGCAGCAGTAACCAGCGGGGCAAAGAGCCCCTGAAGAGAACAAAGAAGGACTAAAAGCGAGTTTTGTCGGTTGAGTTGAAATTTACGAATTCCCGAGGTTCTAGTCAAAACGGAACGCTTGATACAACAACATTTTTACTCTCGCCCTATATGAGTCAGAAACTGAATTCTCATTCTAGGGGATTGAATAATCTTGCAGTGAATTTTTCAGATCTTGTTCAATTATTGTGAGGAACTTTAGGCCGTAATATATAGATAGACGAAAATTATGTTTCAAATAGAGCTGGAAAAATAATCTAGCTCTCAAAAGGGCGAAATTACAAAGGTCTCTAATCTACCTCTCCTATGAGCAGAATATCTGATTCTAGCAATTCCAGTATACACAGAACAGAGACATGCTTATAATGTCTCGAACTTTCTTCTCGTTAAACTGATTTGTATCTGTGCTTTACTGTATTTCAATTGTTGACAATAATTCCTCGCACCGCCCATGCGCAAAGCATGCCCAGCCGATAGCACTAACACGATGAACTGAGAATGAAAAGGAACTGAATATATTGTTACTAATTTTCCTCAAAATTTGGTTGACAGCAGGACTAAAAGAAATTTCTTTTATTGACTTCATACTCATGCTTTAGCTGTCAAGAAACATTACTATACCACACCTCCTGCTATGAATGATGCCCCTAAAATAAAACATACAGATATAAAATGCTCGTTGTCCCATCCCAGGACAAACTTTTTTGGGGGGGGA